GGGTGTCCTTGCACGAGCTGCAGCTGCGGGCGCGGGGCACGGGGACCCTCGTAGGCACCCATTGGTTCTGCCCCCGCGGCCCTGAGCGCCTGCAGCCCCTGTGCCCTGGCACCCGCTACCGCCTGCGCCTGCGGGGCCTCAATCCAGCCGGGCCCGGAGCCTGGGGGCCACCCTACACTGTGAGCCAGGGCTGGGGGGGGTACAGGGGAGGCCGGGGAGAGATGTCCCATGCCCCCCATTTTCTATATATCCAATCCTTTCCATCAACCTGGAGGCTGGGAGCACATGGATATATGGGGGGGAGGGGGTATATATGGGTACTGGAGTATATAGGGAGCATTGGAATATATGGATCTCTTTAGGGACTGGGGGGGTATATGGGGAATGGGGGAACATATGGGGAGCACTGTGGTAAATGGGGCTGGGGGGTACCTGCGGTCTTATTGGTGGTACATGAGGGCTGGGAGGTATGGGAGGATTGGGGGTATATGATGGTTGCAGTACATGAGGCCTATAGAGGCTGGAGATGGGGGGGTATATGGCGGACTGGGGAGTACATGAGGGTATATAGGGATTGGGGTAAATGGGGAGCTGAGGGAATATGGGGGCTATATGGGAGGGCTGGGGTGTATGGGAAGTTTTGGGGGGGATAAGGGGATATATGGGGCATATATAGAGAGGCTGGAGGTATATGGAGGGTTGAGGTATGGGGGGCTGGAAAATATATGGGGCTGGGGATGTATGGGGTTTGGATAATATGGGAGGTTGCACATCAGGGGCATAGGGGGATATACGGGTGCCACATTCCAGTTCTGGGCGCCGCACTTCAGGAGGGATGTGGCCAGCACGGAGAGGGGCCAGAGGAGGCCACCCGAATGGTCAGGGGGCAGCAGGGCAGGGCCTACGAGGAGAGGCTGAGGGACCTGATCCTGTTCAGCCTTCGCAAGAGAAGGCTGAGGGGGACCTGGTGGCTGTTTACAAACTGGCCAAGGGGACCAGCAGGCATTGGGGGGGGGCCCTGCTCCCCCGAGGAATACCGGGA